TTATAAAAAGCAATAGCCACAATTCGTGAAAATTTTGTCTTGCTTATCAATAGTCAATGACTATCGCGCGAATATAAAGTGTCGCCAAGTGATCTATTGAATAATATTTAATAATATATAGAATCAAATTTTTTTTTATAAACTTATACCTATATAATCTATATTTTGACTTTTGCCTTTATACATTCACTACGTTTTTTCCTTTTTTTAAAGAAACACAAAATAGCTATAGGGCCTCGTCTATCGCCAAATTACAAAAAATTACACATGTCATTATTAAGTTTCACTTCGAAATTATTTTTTAGATCTCTGTAAAATGACCAAAACGTAGAAAAAATAGGACACTAAACAAGATGCTTTTAAAGCAACATTGCAATAAAGAATATTAAAGAGAGGCATGCGAGAGGTAAACTAAGACTCTCAGTTGAACTTTAAAAAAATTTGCCAAAAAACACGTTGATTTGTGCAGTCCAACGTTAGACAAAACCTAACGCTGTGTTTATCTTTATTCTTTTGAAAAGTTTTCATTTAAAGCCATAAAAGCAGCATCTCGAGTTAGGTCTTCAGGTTAATGAAGTTACAGTGTATATTGTGTATTGCACATGAAAAAGTATTTACAAAGTGTAATGATGGCATGTTTATATCTTTTCTTTATTTCAAAAGATTTCGAAACTGATTATCATTCGCTCTCCATTACGCATTGGATGGTATATCCCCATCTGCTGAGAAAGGAACCACGACTGACAACCAAACAAAGGCGATCGATTTTTTTTTGGACAAAATTTTATTTAACGTTAAAAACAAAAATCCATGCTTTTATGTGTAAAGTGGACGGCATGGAATTAAAGTTGATCAAACAAATAAAAGTAAAAATATTATATACCCCAGCAATATTAGTTTATGAAGTCCGAAAAACACTTGTGATAATTCATGTTGCAGTAGCAGGCAAATTTATCTGTTTCTTTAATAATCTACAATGCATCATCAAAGTCACTAAAATATCGAGGCTTCAATGAAAAACAAATACTCCAGAAACCAAGCAAAAGATATGCAGTTGAATTTCAGAACAAACTAGAGGTACTGTTAGCAATGAGCTCACTAAATGATACCCCTCGCCTCTCATATGAATATAATGGCAGTGTCCGTGTTTTGTTGTAGGAAACCCAAAATATTTGTCAGATCAAAAAGTAAAATAGGAGGTGCACAATGGCAATATGTAATAAAGATTCTGTGAAATTCTATCAAATTTCATTCAGTGGTATGAGAGGAGTTGCGGATAAGAGATGAGTACCCCAAGCGTAACAGACAGACGGACGGACGAACTTACGAATGGACGGACATACCGATTACTATATACCCTCCCGCTTTTCAAGCGGATGGTATAACTAGCATATAAATAGTTTATAATGTTGATACATGGAGTCAGTAAGAAATTTGATTTTTTTAGCAATGTGTACCTTACAAAGACCTTCTGCAGTATTGGCAGAGTCTTCACACATAATGGTTACCCATTGAAAATTTACACTTTTCAACACTACATTTCAGTTTCTAATTCCTTACTGGAAATGTGGGATAATAATGAATAGATATTTGGGAGACGATATCTTCTGTACATATGTGCTTTTTTAATTCTAAATTTTGTATGACTCTTGTATGCGAAATACATATTTCTCAACTTTTTGTCAATTTGAAGAATTTTCATTTGAAATTCTCGATATTTTTAATCTTCAAGTTCAAAAGAAAAAAGAGAGGATTTCCGAGAAAATATTTATAATGTCAGAATCCCTTTGAAAATATGGACAATTATACTACAATAGTTCCGGTATTTCTATTTCCAGAATACAATGGGGTTTGAACATCCTCTGCTTCAGCAAGTGCTCATTTGATATAATAAACTTGACAACCTTTTTGTTGCAGTCTCTACAATCGGCTGATACATTCACGTCTAACAGAGGAGGCGCGACAGACAACTCAACACAGGAAATTGATTTTGTTTGACAAAATTTAATTTAACGTTAAAAACAAAACACAATGTACATGTAATGTGGACGGATTGAAATATATGTTGATCAAATAAAAGTAAATACATATACAGCTATATAAGTTCATCAATTCTAAAATAGATAATAAGCCCCAAGCTGCAATTGTAGGCAGCATGGATGTGCATTTTTAGGTAGTTTGAAATGTTTCAGTAGCAGGAGAAACATGGTAATACTCAATTACTTATATCGAAACATTCAGTGGATGTAAATATAATCTAATTAAAAAGAAGATGGAGAAAGACTGACGCAAAGACAGTTTAGAAGCTGGAAAAATTGCATCTTGAGAACTCATGCTGATTCTCATACAGTTGTCTAAAACTGTTCAGGCAATCTGATTTCTCTAAACTTCTTTCTATAACACTTCTGTTTTTTTACCAAATGCATGAGGAAACTTCCTTGAAAGCTCTAAATCTGTAATATTAAGCTAACTTAAGATAAAGTCTTCAGTCTTCTCTTTAAGAGAAATTTCTTTATTCTATATTTACGTTAATGAACTGTATATTAATAAGTAAAATATACTCTATTTAATATTAACCATAATTCATTACAAACATAAATTACGTTATATGTGTAAGTGTTATTCAACTGTTACTGTTTCTAACTTAGATAAATGTTTTAATACCTGGCCTGTTGATCAGGTGATTAGATGGACTTGTCTCCCCCTTTGACTCTCCCGCAGTAACGCCTATTAATTGAATTCGAGACATAACATTCCATAGTCAAATCTAATATAAAAACAAAATCCCGCTCCCAAAGCAGTACGGGAAATAGGGAGGTTGAAGATCATTGGAAAGAGATGAAATAAAACACCAAAACAAGCTGCCATGAAGTACTTAGACCGAAAAAGTACCAACATATAGGTGGATCACAAATGATACACTTTGAAAGTACAATACAGGTTGGATAAGAAAGCCGTGGTCAATTCAAGCAGAACAAGAGCTGAAAAAACAAAAGCACGAAAAAAGTATGCAGAGGCCAACAAGAAAATAAAAAGTATTAAAGCTGACAAAAGAAGGTACATAGAGGGACAAGCAATTGAAACAGGCAGAACAAGATGCAAAAGCAGGAAATATGTAAGGCCAATATGACAGCACTAAGAAGCTAGCTGAGAAGCAAAGTAAACCAGAAAGGCCAGTGAAACACAAGACATAGAAACAACCAGAAGGAGAAAAGAACAAAGAACGAGATGGAAAGAGCATTTGGAAGAATAGATAAATAGGCCAGTTCCACGTAACATAAGCTCTATCCTGGAACCCAGAATGAAAATGTAGGAGAAGTAGGTCAAAGAACGACCGACGGAGAGATCTGGAGGCAGACGGCTAAAAAAAGGGGGAAAGAACTGGAAGGAGGTAGAAAGCATATTCAGGATAGAGGAGCCTTGAGGAATCTTGTCAGTGGCCTATATCTTGAAAGGGTTAGCAGGCATAGATAAGTAAGTAAGTTAAGGGCGCAAGGAAACGCTTGTAGCATTCCCTTTTTTGGCCATATTTTTGAGGCCACCTATTTTGCCAAATTATATATGTTATGTAATAATCATAGACTGGGAGACCAATTGTTATGTTTTATAAATTTTCTCAGGAATTGTGTTTTAAGGTTACATTGTATCCCAGTCTTTTTTATTCACTTTTATGTTTTATATTATATGTTGTCATTTCATAATAAATGACATTGTTTTGGAACAAACATGTTTTGTGTTATTTGGCAAAAAACAAGCTCAATGTTGTCAGACGAGTTTTAATTCAAGGAATGAAGGCTGAACTTAAATGATATTTTATGCTAGTAAAATTGTTTTAAGTTAAGTTTCATGTATTTCATGTTAAATTGTAATTCCCCACTTTGTACCTCATTGTCTGTTAACCCGTGGGGATCCCCCGGTAATTTTATCCTTTTGAGATAAGAGAAGTAGCATCATTACATCTACTGCTATTGTAAAGACAAGACGGCCAAACATTTGCTGAAAGATTTTTTGGATTACCCACCTCCATCCCCAAGCAGACTTTAACTGTACATTAGGCCACCTTAAACTCATATGTCTATGTTTTCAATTGTAATTAATTCCGTTTTATATGTATATTATGGCCATATTTTTGAGGCCACCTATTTTGCCAAATTATATATGTTATGTAATAATCATAGACTGGGAGACCAATTGTTATGTTTTATAAATTTTCTCAGGAATTGTGTTTTAAGGTTACATTGTATCCCAGTCTTTTTTATTCACTTTTATGTTTTATATTATATGTTGTCATTTCATAATAAATGACATTGTTTTGGAACAAACATGTTTTGTGTTATTTGGCAAAAAACAAGCTCAATGTTGTCAGACGAGTTTTAATTCAAGGAATGAAGGCTGAACTTAAAGTAAGTTAAGGATTACAATGATAAAGTGCATTTTGGCAGTATAATCAAGGTTCTGTAAAAGACCATTCGAATTCATTCAAAGGAAGGGGGAGGCCTTTAGAAAGACTTAGAAAATCATACAAACTATTCTCTTAAAATAAATACACCTTGTTGCCACTTGTGCTATAAAGTTATTAAGAATATATTTCTAAGACAGTGGTAATCGTTGATACATTTAAGGTCAGACGACATATTCCTCAAAAATAAATAATTTTTTCCCAAGAAGTTGCCCATGTTGTCATTGAAGTCTAGGTATGCTATTTCCTATATTTCCCGTATAGGTGTGGAACAATAATTGATTACAGAGCTGAACATGATAAAAACAAAGAAAATGGTGTATTCATGTATGAGTTAACTCGTGGCTATATAGATTTATAATTGAAAATATAAACGTTTGGAACTCCGATCTTTATCTAACTTTCCTGTTAGTTTGTGCAACACGGAAAAAAAGGTATTTAAATTTTCCTCAGGGCCTTCACTCGTGATTATCTTCCGTGATTAAATTAAAACGGTTTTGTAGTTTACTTAGAGTAGTTTTTAAAATAAACACCAATAAACATTGTCACTCAAAAGAGAAAACGAAAGAAGCAAAGTATACCAGGTATTTCCTTTTTCTTTTCTATTAAAGACCGCCATTAGCAGGAAGATTTCAGTCAGGTAATTCATAACTTCATAATACTAATTATTATTTTTCAGCAATTGAACATTGAAATTAATGTATGTAAACATACTCTACTCGTATCTGCATTTACGCAAGAAGTTATCCTGAAAGTTACATTTAAGATAATCCTTGAAAATAAACTGAACAATACCAAAAACACAATACTGGAAGGAAAAAACGCAAGTTAAAATTCACAAGTGTATTCGGTGAAACAAGTCCTTCATTTTGAAAAAAAAAAAAAACATTTTTCATCTCTTGCCCTTGGAGTTAATTTTAAGCTTGCATTTGTGAAAAATTAATCTTCGCCGAAAGCCGCCATACTTGGACATCAGTGTTTAACATACCCATCTTGTTTTTCTTTAAAAGCATCAAATTAATGTAATTTTTTAAACCAATCTCTTTATACAGAATGGACCATATTCCCCGTCTATCAGAGGTCGTGTATGTTGGTCTGTGTCGTAAGATTGGGGCACCGACAGAAGTGGCCATGCGAAGGGACATAATGGACATGGAAGAGATGATAAATAAACACTTATATATGCATATAGGTGGATGGATGAATAGTGGTAGCTATAGAGAGGGATTTAGGTTTGCGTCATCTGACGTAGATATAATGTTTTGGTCTTGGAATCATAAACTTATAACTGACATCTCCCAGCTCCGAGTCTATGATCCATCAGCTTACGAAATCATTCTAATGGAAGATTCAGACACACCACCAGGATTTGTCACATTACGCCTTCTGACACCACAAAACAGTCGCTTGATTTTAAGTCTTGTTCCCTTCAAGGATGGGGTTTTTATATCTAGTTCTTTGTGGAGAGAAGATTATTTTCAGACTCTAATAAATAATGAGTATTTCCAACAGACAAATATCACCATCCATGGCCCTTGTTCCTCTGGTTTCGTGGGAGATCTCGAATTCGATCATGCTGTTTGTTTTGCCTCTATATTTTGGCCTAAGATATCGGGAGGTTGGGTTGACAGATGTCAGAGGCACACCTGGCCGCCGATACCTGTGTTAGAAAAAATTCTAAGAAATGGATGTCATTGTGTACCTATTGGAAGTAAAATTGAATCAACTTCTTACGAATTGGAATGTAGATTGTCATTTTCTCAAGCCGAAAAACAGCTAGTATGTACCATGAATCATACACAATTTTTATGTTATGGCCTTCTGAAAATATTTTTGAAGGAAGTAAGTTATTAGTTACGGAAAGGAAACAATACTGTGTTCATATTACCTGAAGAACACGATGTTTTGGATGATACAACTTGGACCCGTTAGATGGTATCCAAGCAATCTATTAGATTGCTTCTGGAGGTGTTTAAAATATCTCATACACTGTGTTTTTCGAGAAGATTTTCCTAACTTTTTTGTTCCACAGAACAACATGTTCATAAACAAAGTAGTCGGTGTTACACGTGAATCTCTTTTACAACAGCTTTATCAGTATTACAGAATGGGTGTTTCCTGTCTAGTGCTGAGTCCCACTCTCAGATCAATACTAGAACAAGCCCTCAGTAGTCCGTCCTTTGTAGTATCCCCTGCTAATGAAGGAGAATTCATAGATATCACAGTTCTTGATATACATGCTATGTATGAAATTTTTCAGATGCCAGTTGCTACTGAACACGAAAGAGCTTTTTATACCTTTTTGAAATCAATTGATACACTGTCGCGGTTATCACAGTCAACATACCAATCACTGACATTACAGATTTGTACAACTGAGATTTTTGTTCGCTTTTCTTTCTTGGTGGCAAACAGGCCTAGGTCTTCAAGCTACACACACAAAAACGTCTACTTTGTGGATAAAAGTATATTAAACATACTGAAACTAGCTGCAAAGTTAGGTCCCGTGTCCTATTTATTGTATCTATCACTATATTACTATATATCAGGCAGATATAATAAAACACTACATATAACTTCTGTTGCTAAAAACAGACTGTCAAAGTTTTTTGATTTGCGTAGAAATATCATGGACAGTGAGGATATAGAAAATCTCCCCTTGTTCTGGAAGATGAAAATACTTTGGCAAACCACTGTAGCTATCAATAGCCATTGTGATAGTTATAATATCCGTTTTGAAGAAATAAAGTTAGAACAAGATGTGAGTAAACTAAATGCAAATCCAATCTTACACCTACCACCGTTTGTTTTGGTAGAAATGTTGTCAGTATTATCCCACCATAAACTAGGAAACAGATTTCAGTGTTTACAGTCCCTGACAGACCTACAGACACTGCTGCTCTGTGATGAGGGGACATATGTGCCTTTATTTTCAAGAGACCTTTCCTGGCAGATACTTGGAATCTGTCAGGAACTTGTGGGAGACTTTCATGGGGCTTTGCAATCTTATCAAGAGTCGCTTAAACAGGAACCATATCACAAAATACGGGAAGCTACATATATTAGAATACTAGCAGCCGATATAAAACAACAATTTAACAGAATTAGACCAGGCATAATCAATTAGACTTTATAATGAGGGGACATATATGTGCCTTTACTTTCAAGAAACATATCCTGGCAGATACTAGGAAATTGTCAACAATTTGTGGGAGGCTAATGAATTAAATGTTGTCTGTGTTACAGGTACCTTCGTTATATACAAATATTTTATTAAAGATGAGTTGAAAACAAACGTCTTTGTGTTTCGTTTCTTTTCATAGAAAAAAATAATTTGGTAACCTTTTAAAATGGGGATTCGATAACCTATTGGTACTTGGAGGGGTGGGGGTTGAAATCATTTTGTTCACATATCCCGACATGTACATTAACTTGAAGAAATCCAAAGCAATGAATGTTATAACATTGCATATTTACTTTGCATTTAAAAATTGTATCGACTTCACCATTCCCTCATTTTGTAAAAAAAAAATCTGTACAATGAATCAGATAAAATTCTTTTTTAAAGCCTTTCAAAAATATCTCCTTGCGAATGGCTTTGTTTCCTTGCGAATGGCTTTGTTTCATGATTGCGAAGAGGCTCTGCATAGATAGTAAAACTGGGATCCGAGAGAAAGAGCTTCACACTGAAGGGAAAAAGAAACGCATATTAAACTTTTGAGTTAAATTAAAACAATTATTTCGAATATGTTTTCCAGCATTGTTATCACACATATAATTAATCTTTAATCAACAAGTTACCAAAATCTTGTGTGATTTTGATAATTCCTGAGTTTTTGAAATTGATATGTCGACACCCTCTAAAAATAAAACTAAAAATTCTCATAATCCCCATTGCGCATCTGTAACAAACTTGATTTTCTGTGCATTGAGCTCACCAGAGCATTTATTACCCATCATTTATGGGATTATTATTCAACCCTTCCGGTGGTAGTCTTCCAAAGCCAACAAATACCCCGCCCAATAAATCCCACGAGATTCGATTTAGGATAATGTACAGGATCCAAATGGTTTGGCACAGATGTAAAAAAAAAGTCTCGGCAAACACTAGCTACATTTTCCCAGTGTAAACATGCTGAAACATTACGCATACGACGCGTATGTGCGCATGTGAGAGTAAAATCGACGTAACGTTGCCAAGCTCGTGTGCGTCAGTTTGACGTTTTATCTATATTTGTGTTTAATTGACTGGACTACATCAAAACATACTGAAGAAAATTTGTAAATCAATACGAAAGTACATTTAATTTATATTCCACATCTTATTTTCGCTCCTACTTATGAATCTTCATTTCATGTAACACAGATATGAAATCTACGGAAGCGTTAAAGGTTAAAGATTTGATGTTAATATCACGACTTATATATCGCGATAGTATTTCACACGAAAATATATTAAAAATCTTATTTCATCTTAAAGTTATTGAAACTTTAATTTTTATGCCCCCGTAAACGAAGTTTTGGGGGTATATAGTTTTTGTCGTGTCCGTCTGTATGTGTGTCTCTCTGTCTGTCTAGCTGTTTGTCTGTTTGTTCGCAAAAGCTTTTAGGACTCTCTCTACACAAGTGCAAACCTTTTTTGGGACATTGAGAAAAACATATTGCATAAAGGAGTGTATATTGTGCTTATTATGAAGTGTTTACTACATGGTGCGTGGCATTTACCCCCGGGATAAATGTTCAAAGACAACACAATATCAGTGAATGGTCTAAATCACTGATAATCACTTCAATGGAGAAAATACATGTAAATAACACGTTCAGTTAATTTATCTTGGTCTTTTAATAAATACTTAAATAAATTACAAATTGAGCAAAATATTGTAAATTTCTAATTTTTAGAAATTTGATCTAAGGGCAGATCACTCTAAATGCAGAAAAATACCTTAGATATAGATTTAGACTTAGATAAGATATATAATGTGCAGTGTAGAGAGGGTTCTTAACCTTGCTTATTACTTCTGTTTTATTGGAGCTATGATTTTTCATATTTCACTTGTGTATTCCTTGTGACAAGACCTTTCTTTGGGTACCACCAAATTTGACCTTGACCTTGGAGTTTGACCAACTTAAACAAAAAAAAATTCCTAATTTTTACCTTGGCCATATCTTTTGAATAGTAGTAACCAGGACATTTATACTTCATATATTTTTGTGGCAAGACCTTTCATTAAATACCAACAACCTTGACCTTTTGACCTTGATCTTGGAGATTTTTATACTTGTAAAAAAACTTTAAACTTGGCCATAACTTTTGAACGTTAAGTGATAGGACTTCAATACTTCACATATGTAATCCTTGTGAAACGACCCTTCAATGGATGCCAGGAACTTTGACCCTTTGAACTTGACCTTGGAGTTTGACCTACTTTTGAAAAGCAAACCTTGACCATAATATTTAAAGGGTTATAGCTAATGCTTTTATATTTTACATATTTAATCCTCGTGGCAAAGCTTTTCATTTGATAGCATGACTTTTGACCCTTTGATCTTGAAGTTTGACTTACTTTAAAAAAATTAACCTTGGTCATAACTTTTGAACGGTTAGGGCTAGGGCTTCCATACTTTACTATGTATTCTTTGATTGAATACCAATTACCTTGACCTAGGAGATTTTGTACTTATGAAAAAACTTTTACCTTCACCATAACTTTTGAACGCTAAGGGCTAGTGACCTCATACCTTATTTATGTTATCCTTCTGAGAAGACCAAGAACTTTGACCCTGACCTTGGAGTTTGACCTACTTTTAAAAAAAAAATCTTGACCATTCCTTTTAAAGGGTTAGGGCTAGTGCTTTCACACTTTTCATATTTGATCCTTGTGATAAGACCTTTCATTTGATAACAAGACCGTCGACCTGGTAAGGGCGAGAGCTTCCATACATTACATATGTACGTATTTCTTTGGAAAGCCCTTTCATTGGATACCAATAATTTTGACCTTAAAGATTTCTGTTCTTATGAAAAATTTTAATCTGGCCTATTTACATATTGCATAATTGTATTTCCAGTGAGAATACCCTACTTTTGGTAACAATATATTAAATTTGCATTAAAGATAATTCAAATCTTTGCTATGTTGCCATACGGGGGCATCAGTGTTTCACAAACACATCTTGTTTGTACTGGTATGATATTAACACATTCTTGCACTTTCACAAATTTTAATTCTATTCTTAAAACTCAGGAAAAGTGGCAATCTTATTGTGTATTAATGTAAAATATTAAAACTATAATCCAGAAAACATGTATACACAGTATATTGTCAGTCCGTGTAGTTGTGGTGAGCAGACTTTAACAATTGAACACAACCGGTGAATCGTAAATATTAACAATTTAATTTATTACAGAGCTCGTGCCCTGTTTGCAAAACCTGTATACGTTTCACGGGTGTGCTCAATTTGCTTAACTCTGTACACAACACTAAGAGTGGGAGGACGATAATTGTGAAGGGGTTTTACCTTTCTAACATTTTTTTGATTTTTAAATTTAAATTTTTACGATTTAATACTTTTCATTAATACCCAAGAATCCACTTTTCCTAAGTATTAAGTTTAGAATTAAAATTTGTGAAAGTACATGGATGTGCCGATCAAACCCATCCAGAATTTGAAGTTTCAATAACTTTAAGATGTAATAAGATTTTTAAAGTATTCATGTGATATGCTATAATTACAATATAAAAGTCGTGATATTATAGAGAAAAAAACTAACTTCAAATCTGTGTCTGTGTACCTTTTAGTTCTCTGCACTTGCTGTTGCGGGGTTGTAACTTGTACGAGCTAGTACATTATATTTTAATTTTATTTCTCATATAATGGTCGTGATGTTACAAATTCGTTGCGAGATGTTTTCAGGGTATAGGTACTTGTTTGAGAATACAAGGTCCAATTGTATTGTGAGTCTGCATAGCAGCATTTCTTATTAAAAATTCATAATGTTGTCGTTTGTAGACCTGCGTGGAATAAAAAGTGAAGTTCCTATTTATATTCATTTCTTTTAAAAACTCTCCTTAGTTTCTATCATTCATTTTGAAATCATCATTGTTACCGAAAGAAACGTTTTTGTGAATTTGTGGTTTCATATGGTCAGTGGTCTGTCCCCTTGTCAACAATCCTTTAAAATACACAGATTTTCGCATGATTATGTTGATGATGTAGAAAAAATGTCCTTGAATGTATTCCTTGAAAATGTAATACTTTTTTGCTATACATAAAGCTGATATTGTTTTTTTTTCAAAAACTTCACACTATTTTACAATGTATGTGATCGTACATGTATAACGGTAAATGCTAAAATTTGGAGAAATAAATATTGACAATTTTTTAAATACATCCGGGAAAAATGTATATACTTATTACAAAAGTTGATTAGTAATGACGTTACAATTATCAATGACGTTATTCAATGTTTTATATAGTTAGCAATGCATTTTTTTTTTAATTTTGAGTGTGAATTATATAGGATTTAGAAAATATATAATAAAAAATTTGGTATCAAAATAGTATTATGGTATTCAGGAAAACAAGCTCTTTCAGAAGCCGATTTTTGAAATTTTTTGACGAAGGTTCATTTTCGCTTGACGCAACTCAAATACATTTACATTTATTACAAAAAAAATATAAGGATCCATTTGCTTTTTCCAAAAATTGAACGTACCACTTATTTTCGAATAAAGTATTTAATAAGCAATATTGCACCGTTGCAACCTTATTGAAATAACGACCACTATTGAAATAATTATATCAATAGTGGTTGAGAATGCATTTCAATAGCAAACATAGTTTGTAACCACTATTGAAATACGACCGCTATTGAAATAATTATTTCAATAGTGGATGAGAGTGCATTTCAATAGCAAACATAGGTAATAACCACTATTGAAATACGACCACTATTGAAATAATTACTTCAATGGTGGGGGAGAGTGCATTTCAATATGATTACCATAGGTTTTAACCACTATTGAAATACGACCAGTATTGAAAGAAAAGTTTCACACCGTAATTTCTTATCCAAAATTTCACAAAAAATTGGATTTAGGGTGAAAAATATACAAATTAATAATAAAAGTGTATAAATCAATAAGAATAATTTTAGAGAGGCAAATTTTGAACATCACAGAAGGTTTATAATTTCTTTATATTCTA